CTCCGCATCCGCCTCCGCATCCGCCTCCGCCGCCGCTGCCCCCGCCGCCTCCGCCTCCGCCTCCACCACCACCACCACCTACCCCATCACCCCCATCCTTCCCTCCTACACCCCCACCCCGCAACCGGCCACCATCGACGACCACCGCTACCCCTTCCGCCTCATCCGCGGCAACCCCCCTCTGGGCATCGCCCCCGCCGACTGGGCCCGCGCCTACAACCGCGCCGACACGCGCCGCTACAACATCCACGGCCGCAAGGGCAAGAAGCACGCCGCGGACCGGGAGGACGGCACCACCCGGAGCGATGCCGTTGCGCAGCTGATTCGCACCGGGGAGCTGCCGGGGGACTATGTGGATGGGGGATATTGAGGGAGGGGGGGAGGAGGGGAGGGGGGGAGAGGAGAGAGGGAGAGAGAGAGGGAGGAGGGAGAGAGAGAGATAGTTTACAGGCTGACAATAAAAAGCTGTGACACGAAACTTTGCTTTTGCTTTTGTTTTTACCTTTGCCTCTGCCTTTGCCTCTGCCTTTGCCTTTGCTTTTCGCGTGTTCTCCTTATTTCCTTTTCCTTTTCCTCTCTCTTCTGCTGCTGGAGCCAGTAAGTAAATCGCCTGTCCCATGCCCCTGTCCCCTACCAGCTATGCCTTTTTTCCTTGCAATAAACAAGTAGTACCTAGGTAAGTACATGCGTGCACATAGGCATGATTCAGGAAAGCGCTTTTGACTGACTACCTACCGGTATCTAAAAGGCAAACGGGCAAGCCTTCTCGAGTATCAGCTGATCATCTGATAACGATCTTTTTTTTTTTTTTTTTTTTCCCAAAGACGATTGATTGGTCTCGAAAGAGCAGTTTCGTTCGTGTAGCTAGCTACTGGACTATCTATAATTGGCGATTGGGTAAGATCGGAGCAGGAAAGTAGGAGCAAGGATTGGAGATTCTCTAGGTATGTGTATGAGGAATGCTGGGGCGGAAGGGGGGACTGATGGCGGTTGATAGGAAGTTGTCGTAGTCATGTTTGAAGTATATAGCCCGCCGAGCGCTTTGCTAGCGCTTGCCACCTGGCGGATCAGCCTGGTGCTCGTAGTATATAGCCTTGAGCGGGCCAGAGTGATTAGATCAGATTGCTCTCTTCTTGTAAGAGTCGGCTTCGCGAGCGATTTGGTACTTGCTTGCTCTTTAGCCAGCTTGCGTCAAACGCTGCCTCGAGGTCATTACGTGCCACCAAGGCTGTAATGACTGTATGATCTTGACGTTTTTGATCCAGGAGGAATATATGTTACGTGTGCTAGTGCTAATGCTAATAATAGGCGAACGTGCGGCTGCCGCTCACGCGCCGTCGTGACTTCCGTTCTGGAAATCGATCGTCTATCTACGAGACGTTCTTTGACGTGCCGGTTCAGATCCAGATCGACCGTCCGGCACTTGAGGCAAGTCGACAAGATGATCGGCTAATGATCCTCTGCTGCTATCACATAACGGCCGTTAAACATTCTCCGTCTTTCCATACGCACATCTACATCTCCCCCCAAAAAAACCCATCTTTAGAGCCAAGGCGAGTGTGCCTTCGAAGGGAATGGACGAACAAAACTAACTTTATACAGTCTCTATGCTTTGCATCCCCTCATCGCTATATGAACAACTACTTCTCTATTAAGCTGCCAAGACACTATCCCGTTGTTGTGAAAACGACCCCCAGCCAGACTCATCGCCCCCAGCTCGGCCACTCAACATGTGTACGGAGAAGTTGGGCATCTTTGACTGCGGCTGTGTCGAGATGACCGAGATCCTCTTCTGTGATTGGATCGTCGATAAAACGACGGTTAGTGCAGCGCATCCTAAAAACGCACCAGCGGCACCGCAACTCCAGCGCGAACTGGTGCCAACGCTCTGCCGCCACTGCGAGAAGAGGATGGAGAGCCCCGAGGGGGCGCTGGCCGTGAAGGCGATGGTGGCGACACGGCGCGCGGCTGTGCGGCGGGCAAGATCGAGATGGCGAGCGGCCGCGGGTTCCGCTGCCCAGGCAGTACCGGTACCCACGACAAAGGATATCCTTTTCAGGCTGGCGATGGCAGACTGGAATACCGATGAGGTGGAACAGGTAGAGGCCGATCTCCAGAGGCTTGCGGGCAGGACGGCATGGGCTGAGGAAGACCAGCATTGGGAAAGGTCGTCTGCATCGCAGAGCTCACTGCCGCTTCGTGCGTTGGCGGCTGCGACTTCTGCTCTGGCTCCTGCATCACCGCTTCCTCCGCGGCTACTGCGCGTCTATGAAGTGTTCGAGGCGCTTTCTTCCTCGGGTGCCCCCTTTGCCGATTGGGAGCTCAGGCTCCCCCCGGGTCCGTTTTTCACGGCCGGAAACAGGGCACGACTCTGGCAGATCTTGATGGCCCACGCGGACCGGGGAAGCGACGGTTTACCCCGACCACGGCGTCATCCACGTCATCTCCGTCTTCCTCCTCCTCCTCCTCCTCCTCCTCCTCCTATTCTTCCTCCTCCTCCGCCCCCAACCTTCCCATGGGGAGCACTCCGTGCCGAAACCCCTCGTCCATTCCCCATCCAGGTCCACGAGATTCTCGAGGCACTTCCCGCCGAGGGCATCGCTGTGCTTGATTTCGGGATCCTCTTCGAATCGCGTCTGTTGGAAAGTGAGCTGGACGAGTTCATGCGGCTGATGAGCGAACACGCGGTTTACGGCCTCGATGGCTTACTCCGACCGAAGAGGCCACGAGATTGATGATCGATCGGAGGCTCATTCGCGCGGGCGGATGGATCGCCCAGGCGGATTGTTCGTCTGCGTCTGCGCACCTGGTATCCTCTGCTGAGCAGGGAGTGAGCGGTTGTTTTCATGATTTAATTATGCTTGCTTGGACTTGGATCGGTCGGATGCCTTTGTGGGTTTGGAATGAGCGACGACATCGAGGTGTAGTTGTAGACGGGTTATCTATATCTAGTATTGGCGAAGGAGGCTTTAGAGGCTTTTGGGAAAGGGCATCATCCATCATCCATCATTCATTCGCTATTCTGTCCTGTTTCTTTTCTGGATGAAGGAAAGGAGGGTTTGGGTTCAGGACTCACTTACTCACTCACTTACCTCATGCATGTTGTACTGTATTGTATTGTACTATAGCTGTTCATGTTCATGTTCATGTTCATGTTCATGAGCGAGAGGAGGGGATGGGCGGAAGATGGAAAGACCCGGCTGCTAGGAATCAAAGAAAGTACCCGATGTTGACTCTCTCTCGGCATGACATGTCCATCCTTTACGTTACGCAGTAGACGAGCACGAGATGAGAGATCCTTTTTTCTCTGTCAGAGATATCCCTCCCCCTCCGGTTTTTACCCAGTATGTGGCCAGCCCATCCATCCATCCATCCACCACGTCAGGCCAGGTCAGGTCAGGTCAGGTCAGTAGATGCGCGGGCTGGGACTTGGGGTTCGGGGGCTCGGAAATCAAGCTGAAGCCAAAGAAAGTTCCCGAGCGGGAGAGCTTGGGAGCTAGAGAGGTGCTGTCTTTGTCTCTCGAAGATGGAAATGGTGGGTGGTGGGAAAAAAGGGTGGTGGATGGGATGGTGGATGGCTGATGGTGGACTGTGGCCCTGGTGGTGGCACCTCTTGGGCTTGGGCGGGGGTGAGTTGTAGCGGGTTGTAGCGGGCGGATGTTGGGAGGGAGGGGAGGTAGGGGAGGAGGAAGATGACGCCGTGGTCGGCTTTGCAAGGTGCAATGCCATTCACTGTTTTTTTCGCCGTCTTTGGCTGCCATGGCACAGGTTTCGCGAACGGAAAACAGGTGTTGCAGCGGTGTGCTGGTTTAACGTTGCGTTGTTAAACTCCGCGGCGTAAGCAATCCCCTTAGCTACTTTCTTATGATAGTACTTTCGTACGATAGGTGTTTCTTGACGATTAGTACCGTATATACTCTTTGGGCTAGCCGGAAAGCACCAGTATTGCGTAAGTTTCTTTCGTCTTTTTATTTACTTACTCTCAATCGATCTCAATGCCGTAGCTAACTTGATACCGCGCGCAACATGCCGAATATACTGTGCGCATACTCACAACTTCTCGTGGCAATTGTGAGAATAGGATCGGCGATGGTTACTCGTCTGGTGGTAATGACAACCCTCACGCTGGTGTAAGATTCCTGTGCTGATGGCGTCTAAAGTTGTATAATGCTAAGCGAGTTTATTAGAGGGTGAAATGCGCAAGACAACCACTTTGTTCTCGACTACTCGAGTTGCTATCAGAGGGGGGCTAACAGATCATAGTGCGGTTAATCGTGTCGGCACTGAGGCGAGAGCCGGGCCGACAGTGCGGTCGGATACGGTATGGTGGTATTGGGGAGCGCCTATGGCGGAGAACGATGTCAACGATATACCTAGCATGCAAGAGCAAAAAGGGGGTTTGTCTCAGCATCAGAGATCGTAAGAGAGAGGAAGAGAGAAGGGGGCTCTGGAAGCTTCGGACTCTGTTACGGCTTACCATCTGACCAATGCACACTTCTTCAAACTTCACTCTCTCGCACCACGAGACCTGTTCCTGTTCTCCATTGGTCTCGCAAAAGCAGTCTTTTCCGTGCCAACCCTACATTTGCTTGACGTGAACAACCTCTTTGCGTATAAGGTCTCCGCTTGCGATGAGATGGTCGTCTCCATTGATGTGCATCCAGCAATGTCTTGAAGAAGAGTCGCGATGTTTCCACTTGAGACAAGTTAACGTCTATCCTTATCTTCTCTTGGAGATGCCTATGTGCGATATTCAGCGGCGATATCAAACCCATTATGAATGCCTCTCGTGAGCCTTCTGCGGTCTTTCTCATGCTACTTGTAGCTTCTCGCAAAGGCTACGGCAAATGACACAGACCATCCCAGGACATCAACATGGATGGAGCTTTGCAAAGCCGGGAGAGGAACCGAACTCTCTGGCAAGAGTATGCTTCACTCACCTCTCTCACATTGCAGCATCCGAGCTCAGTCACTGGAAAGAAGACGCTGCAGATGTCGCTGCCAGCTGGGAGATTGTCTGCGATTGCAACCCTAGCTTCTATGCGACAAGCTTCAAGCTGGCTTTGGCAGCATCAACTCGGCAAGTTGCGGGCTCTACTCTACGCTTGCGGCTAAGGGCGCGTGTTCGAGGTCAGAATTCAACCGCTGGGTCGTGAGCATCGTGACTTATCCTGCTTCAGAAGGTCATTTTCCAACCAGAGCTTCGGGCTCGCAAAGCTGGCCGTGGCTAAGCAGCAGTAGTCTCTGCCGAGATAAAAGATCTTTGGTCGTCTGTTCGCCCAAAAGGCAAAATCTCGCGCCAGATTCCATCGCGTATAGTCAGGAAGTCGTGGGTTTGAAAAGGGGGGCTATGGCTTGGTGCACGACTATCTAGACACGCTTTCTGGATGTGTACACTTGTAGTCAAACACCCTCCATAGGAAGTACAACATGATATCCTCGGCGGCCGAGAGCGACGTGGTTGAATATTGGAGCGAGATCGATCATACGCTGGGTCACGGAACATTGCTTAGGAATGAAGCACGATGGAGGCTGGCTGTGTCAGTTGGGATCGTCCAGTGACGGCGGAGCAGAGGTATATATGTATATATGTGTGTGTGTATATATATATATATATATACATACTCGTCAGACTAAGCAGTAGACCTGAGCTCGGTGTCAGATATATCTTCGATTCCATTTCTGACCTGCCAGCCCGGGGTTTTTTCCCTCCATGAACTGTGAGGTGTTGAGGATATTGAGTTTTCGCCAATGTCGTCATTGTTGTTGTGCACATCAGTATCACGTGACAGGCCTTGCTATTGTGACTGGGGTTATGGCGCTAGTCTATCGCGTCGTCGCGAGAACTCCTCGAGCTCAGTCCTCTTCCATTCCTTCGACCTCTTCACTCAAGTTCACTACAACAACCATCCATTGCCCATTCTTGATCTGCCTCGTGCATCGATCGCTCCTTAAATACCACACACACACACACGAAATACTTGAGTACTTCACTTCTTTCTGCATACTTTCACCCCGCCTCAGCTCACATTCCACTCGCCTCGCGCGAAGGAAAAAAAAAAACCCTTTCCCTCCCCCCCGACAACAACATGCCTCCTAAAAAAGGCACAAAGGCTGCCGCCATCCCCAAACTTCCCGCAAAGGCGAGTCAAGTCCCCTCCGCACGAAAGGCTTCCATGGCCGTCTCGACCGTAACCAAAACCACCATTACCAAGACTACAAAGCGCAAGACATCCGAGATCGAGGAAGAAGCTCCAGCTGCATCCAAGCGATCGAAGATCCTGCCCGCTGAAGGATCTGCCAAACCAAAGTCCAAGCCTGCCACGAAGAAGAACCCCCCTGCGAAATCTACACCCGCCGTCAAGTCCAAGGCGCCCGCCACAAAAGCTGTTGCTCCCGAGAAGGCCTCAGCTAAGAAGAGAGCTGCCGAGTCCGATATTGAGGACCAGCCTGCTCCAAAGAGAGTCAAGACGATGGCCAAAGTCGCGCCCAAGAAGGCCGCTGCTGTGAAGAAAGCCCCGGTCAAGGCTCCGTCTAAGGTTGCTGTGAGTTCACCTTTGGTGGTTTTCGTTTGGGTATGCACTGACAAATCACGCAGAAGCCTGCGCCGAAAGGCAGAGCTGCTGGAAAGAAGAACGTCAAGGCTCTCGTGGAAGATGAAGCTTCAGATACTGAAGAAGAGGTTGATGTAGGCTGATCCCACCCCATCTGCGAGGTAGACACTGATAGTTTCCAGGAAAAACCCGCTCCCCAAGCTGCCCCAAAGAAATCTGCTGCTGTCAAGAAAGCTCCGGCGAAGGCTGCTTCCCAGGCTACAACCGAAACAGCCACCGTGAGTTCACTTTTGCGCTTCTGCGAATTTCTACTGATCGATCTACAGAAGAAGTCTGCTCCTAAGGCGCAAGCCGCCCCCAAGAAAACCCCTGCTCCGCGAATGGTTGCTGCCCCCAAGCCCAAGAAAGCCCTGCCTATACTCAATACCGCTCCTACCCAAGTCTTGGATGCCTTCGTGTTCGGCGAGGGCAGTGCTGGGGAACTCGGACTCGGTGCTCGCAAGGGCGAAGATGGCAAGAAGGTCATCGATGTCACCCGTCCTCGTCTCAACCTACTCCTCTCTGCAAAGGATGTCGGCGTTGTACAACTTAGTGTTGGTGGTATGCATACTATTGCTCTCACCAGAGATAACAAGATCTTGACCTGGGGTGTCAACGATCAAGGTGCCCTCGGGCGTGAGACCCCTAACGAAGGCAAGATGGTCGATCTCCCAGCTGAAGACGACGACTCGGATTCAGATTCAGATGATGATGACGATTCTGGCTTGAACCCAAACGAGGCTACTCCCAAGGCGGTTGACCCAGCTCACTTCCCTGAGGGCACCATATTTGCTTCTGTCTCCGCAGGTGATAGTGTCTCGTTCGCTCTCACCGATACCGGCTTGGTCTATGGCTGGGGTACATTCCGAGTAAGTTTCCCTGTTCCTCAAACATGTATTCACTGCTAACTACCTCAGGGTAACGACGGTATCCTTGGCTTCACCCCTAAGGTCAAGACCGCTGCCACACCCATGCTCATCCCAGAGCTCAAGGAGATCGTCAAGCTGGCCGTTGGAACCAACCACGTCCTGGCCGTCAACAAGAAGGGCAAAGTCTTCACCTGGGGCGCCGGAGAGCAGAGCCAGCTCGCTCGCCGCGTCGTCGCTCGGACTGCCGCTGGTGCGCTCGTCCCCCGCGAGTTCGGCCTTGGTAGGAAGAAAATTGTTCAGGTCGGCTGTGGCGACTACCATTCTTTCGCAGTCGACGACAAAGGTGATGTCTACTCCTGGGGTCTCAACTCATTCGGCCAGACGGGCATTTCCAAGGATGAGGAGGAGCAGGACAGCAATTCTATCGCTACCCCTACCAAGGTCGATATCCTTGATGGCTACGACATCAAGCAGATCGTTGGTGGTGCTCATCACTCCATTGCCTGCACTACTTCCGGTCAGGTGCTGGTGTGGGGCCGCGTTGACAACAATGAGGGTGGTATGGAGGTTGACGAGATGCCCAAGGATCACCTCTTCTTCGACGAGGCAGGCAAGGCGAGATACTTGATCAAGCCTCTTGTTCTCCCTAGTATTAAAGGCGTGCAAGTCTCATCGGGACCCGACACTTGCATTGCTGTCGACTCGGACGGCAAGGCATACTCGTGGGGATTCAGCGGAAACTATCAGACCGGACAGGGTCATAGCAATGATGTCTCGGAGGCCGAGTGGATTGATAACTCTGCGGTCCGGGGTAAGAAGCTTGTCTGGTCTGGAGTCGGCGGTCAGTTCGGCATCGTTGCTGGTATTGCGGAGGATGTGCCCATGGTGAACGGCGTCTAGTCTAGTGATAAACATCTGCGTTTCGGGACGATATCGGGAGGGATCTTGGTGTACAGACCGGAGCGAGCATTGGGTACGACTAGAGTCGGTCCGCTACCCCGTTTTTATTTGAATCGAAAGGCCGTTGTACCTAATATAGCTGTGCACCGAAGATGAGTGGCTAGAGCATACAAGAATGCCACATTTCTAAACTATCGGGTTGTAATGCTTGCACGTTCGTCTGTGTAGACGGAACACGTTTGGAAGAGGATATTGTGAAATTGCTGTAGCTTAAGAACCGCAATCCCTCTCTCCGGGACGCACTCTCGCGAGCCGCTTTGCTTTGCTAGTTTCCTGGGGACGGCTTCAATTCAACTCCAGCTCGAGACTGGCTGGGGTTGTTCGGGTATCGTTCCATCCCGTCCCGTGTGGTGGTGGCTAGCTGAGAGGAGGAGGAGGTGAGAAGTAGGTTAAGCACATCTCTCTCTCTCTCTCTCTCTCTCTCTCTCTGACTGACTGTTCGTTCAACTATACTACAGGCAGGTACTTCAACCGAGAGAACTCGAAAGCTGTTTGTTTGTTTCTTTGT